CATTAGAAATGTAAGCCACCCCCTAATACTCCTGGCTTCTCTCCCCTCTGGCCTTTGCTCAAATCTCTTTCCTCTTTCACAAATGCCTATTGATATTCTTCCATTATTCACTGCCCAAATAAAGTACTATTTCTTATTGATGTTTAATCTCGGTTTCCCCTGGTTCTGCCCCTCCACCAAGCCAGGTGGATGTAATAATAAAGTGAAAACATTACCATTTGAATACCAGTTTCCAGTTACAAAGTGTCTGCACCTATGTTACAAGTCATCTCACCCTTATGAGATAGGCAGGACAAGTCTTTATAGAGGAGGAGGGTTCAGGTGAGCCATTCAAAGTACCAAAGCTACAAAATGAAAGAGCTAGAAAATACTGCAGACCCCATAATCTTTCCATTGTCCAAGGAGGCATCAAATATATACGTTTGTTCGCCCAACCTTCTCTAAGCAATATGTTGATCATCTCAGCCTAAAAATAATGGTCTGCCCCTTTAGCTAGTTGCATGTCCACACAAGACCCTCCTATAGGCCTTTCAAAAGCTGCTTCCTCTAGAAAACCGGCCTAAGAGTAAGGACCCCACCTCTGTTCTTATCTTGCCTTTCCTTCCCTTGCTTTTCTCATCTTGCTTGAAATACAATAAAACTGACACTAAGCAAATAAGTCTCATCAAGCTCTATTTGCCTACATGCCCTCCGCATAAAAGTTTCTGGGGGTGCTGCCTGTGCTTGGGTTTACTGTGAACAGTCCCCAACACACTGAGGCCCTCGGTAAATATTCTGGAATCTGGATGGAAGCCAGATAGCAGGCAAGGGACTCCCTGCCACAGCAGGAGTGCCTTGTGGCACAGGGGACAGAGGGCAGCTGTGCCCATCCAGAGGGGCTTCTTCGAGCTCTTTCCCATGCGTTTGTCCACTGCAGCCTGGTTTGGGTCACAAGTGCAGGCTGTGGTGCCAGTCTGTGTCATGTGCTGAGGCCTCTATCTTTCCAGGCTGGTCACATGAGAGGGTTTGCTCTGTGTGTTTGCAGCTGTTTCCCCTCCCCTGCCAAGCCCAGGCTGAGACCATAGGCAGTGAAGAGAGGTTTTTTGTTTTTTTTCCCCCATGGCATTTGAGTAAAGCTTTGGCAGAATGGAATTACTCACTCCACGGACTCAGTGCAATTGCCCACAGTTCTAACAGAGTTTTACAGAGAGCCCAAATCTCTTGTGGAATGAGGCAGGTATGAATAATTAAACATGGTGATATTACCCACTCCATGGGTCTGGGGACATTAGCTGCCCCATGGGTAAAATAACATTACCTATTTCACAGGGAAAAGGAATGCGGGCTGCCTCACAGAGGAGGGTAGCAGGGGAATTAGCTTGGAGTGGAATTATGTGTAAGTCATGCACACACAGTTCCTCTGGAGGCACACAGGGGCTGCCTGTAATGTGCTTGCTATCTGCCTTTCATCTGTGATATGCTTTGCTTTGACAGTTCTGCAGGGCACACCTGCCACTAACAACCAACCCACTCTGGTGCCTTAAACTCCTGCAGCTAGAATCACTTCTTCAGGTCAAGACATTTTCTCCAGGAAGCCCCTGTTAACGGGCCACTTTTTTTCCTGGGAGCCAGGGCTGGACATGCAGGCCCTCAAATACTTCTTGGGCTTCTTTCAGATGAACTTTTCAGCTCTGGCTCTCTTCTTGGATTTTAGTGAGGATTGAAGTTCCTAAGACCTAGACCAGTGGTTCTGAAACTTGACTGCACCTAGGAATCACCTGAGGAGCTTTTAAAAATCCTGATGCCAGGCCATACCCCCAGACCATTCAGTCAGAGCCTCTGGAGGTGGGACCAGACAGTACTATAATTTTCAAGCCCCCTTCCCTAAAGTGGTTCCGAAGTACGAATAAGCTGGAAAGCCAGTGACTTACACCATTTTTTAAAAATTGACGTATAGTTGATTTACAATGTTGTATTAGTTGCAGGTGTACAGCAAAGTAATGCATTTATATATGCGTATATATATTCTTTTTCAGATTTTTTTTATTATACGTTATTACAAGTGCTGTGCTATACAGTAGATCCTTGTTGTTTATCTGTTTTATATATAGTTGTGTGTATGTGCTAATCCCAAACTCCTACTCTATCCCTCACCCCCCTTTACCTTTCAGTAACCATAAGTTTGTTTTCAATGTCTGTGACTTACGCCATTTTTTAAAAGTGATTTTTTAAAATGTAATTGTATAGTTCTAAAGAACAGACTAGCATTTTCTGGGGACTGTGGGTCCACGAGGGCAATAACATGTGGGATTTGGAAACACCCATGAACTCGTGTGAACTGTGGCAGCCTTCTCTACAAAAGCCTCTGTGCTGCTATTTTAAGGAAGTGAAAGAGAGCTAAAGAGTGTCCTGTTGTAATACAACTCTTGTGGGCCCCAGCCTTCCTCTGCTGGCTTTGCCCTTGGCCTGCATCTGGCCAGGTTCCTGCAGTGGCCAGAGTCTCATATTTGCCAGGGTGGCTTAAGTTTTGTTCACATGTACAAGTCTTCTGGGCACACTGGTAATTTCAGACCACCAGGATAGTATGAAAAAATATGTGTCTTGAGTTTTTCAACACTCCAGCCTGTAGAAGTGTGGATATAAATTGAGGTTAGGGCAGTAGTGACTCCTTTCTGAGCTGGGGACTATGCCAGAGTCCCTGGTGTGATGCCATCTGAGGCCCACAGGGATTTTCATCAGCCGAACTGAGCAACCAATTCTTGGATATCCAGACAGGGCAACAACCTAGCAGTACAACCAAAGGGGATTCAGGCCCTACACTGGGGGAAGGCACTGGACTAGGTCCCCAGGGTCCCGTGCTGCCCCGATTCTACAATCCAGTGCTGTGGTCAGACATCGCCAAAGCTTTTCTTGCGCCCGTGGAACCTCGCCTAAGCGCTGGGCACAGGGCAGCGCTGCTTGTCCCCAGCTGTTCACAAGAATGGGTGTCAGTGACCGGCGCCAACCACTAGAGGGACCTCCACCCCAGGTTGCGGGGTTCAAGTGCGGCCAGACCCTAGGGTAACTCCGTCTTCCGAACTGGGGGCGCTCAGAGACAAGAAATGAGGCTGCTGTCAGGCCAACTTCGATTTGAACGCGATCCCAGGGGCCCAGAAGTCCGCACACCCAAAAGGGTGCTGCGCCGGGAGTGCCTCTAAAACGATTTTTCTATGGCTTCTGTCTCTTCGCAGTTCTCTACACAAGTTCCCTTTCTGCTTTTCTCTTTCATTCCCTACGGCCAAGGAGCGGTGCTGAAGGGCTGGACAAGCCCGGGGACAGGGAGCTGAGAACTGCCGGGCGACTCCCCGGGGCCGGAAGGGTGCTGGAGGGGGAGGTGACCAAGAGCGGAGCGGGGCTCCAGGGAGGGACGTGGCCTCCTGAGAGAGGCGGGGCTTGGGGGGGGGAACGGTAAGCTCGGCCTAGGGGGCGGCGCCGGAGCTGGGGCTGGATGGGCGGGGGCTAAGCAGGTTCGAAGGGGCCGGCTTGATGAGGCCTGTCCTTGCGGAGCTAGAACCCTTGGCGGACAGGTCCCTGCGGGCAGCCAAGGAACGAAGAGGGAGGGGGCGTGGCAGAGGGGCGGGCCCGGGGGA